GGTATCTCCGCCGCCGTGTTATCAGGGAAATTGAATTAACTGACGCAGGGGCTGGGCCTCCGGACATATACAGGGTGTATATGACGTCGGTGCAACCCAGTCACACACAGAACACTCGCTTCCAGGGGGGCAAGGAACCGGCGGGGTGTGTGTGTCTTTGACCTCGGCGGACAAGCCCAAATTATAGAAATATAGGAAACCATGGGCGAGTGGGCAATGCGTGTAAAATCAATACAAAAGCACAGTCGTTGATAAGGAGGATGGCACTCGTAAGCCACAGTCGTAATAATTCAGTTGTGTGTTCTGGCCTGCAATTACCTTGGCTAACCTTTTTGGTATCAATTGTGGATGATGACAGTGATTGGGAACTCGGTAGAGTTTTGTATAATTCTTTGAAAACAGTTTGTGTCTAGAAGTTCCTTGAAAGTTGTTCTTAACTTTATTGCGAGGTAGCTAACTTCCGGAAAACGGTACTTCGATTTCAGAACTCCCCAAAGCTGGAAAAACTGGGCTATGAACAAGATTTTTGAATAGAGTGCAAATGCCATAGAAAATTCAACTTGCGCTCAAACTACTTCTGCTTTAAAAGCCAATTCGCTTTGAACCCACCTAGTTAAGTCTCCCCACCCTTCCAGCCGCACAAGAAGGATCCCATTATCCCTCGGCTGCGGCTCCAGTTTCAGGTTCAGGCGGTGGTCCATCAATTGGCTCGTCGATTATCAATTTCCAGCGCTAATTGGCGTGCATTATTTATAGTCGAGCGAGCACACGGCGGCTGGCTGATGGCACGCATCTGATGACGTCACAGGGGAAAGCGCGAGCTGGGAAATCGATGGGCGAAACAAAGACGTCATCACTTGGCCGTCGGAGGACATGCGCAGTGGAGCAGAGCGAGACAGCAGACAGCAGACGGCAGACGACGGCATGAATGAATGAGTGGATGTGTTTGCGGGACGGGGGGCTGCTTATCACGCGCAGGTGAAAACAGGCAGGTGAGTGAGTAGGCCGCGGCAGAGGAAAAACACCGGCCGGCGGCTCGGCTTTCCCCTCCTTGCAGCCATCTCGCTCGCGCGATGACGTCCTTGTTGCGACTCCAGTCGTCTCGCTCTCGTCTGACGTCACTTGGCGGGCTGTCCTTGACGGGGTGGTCCATTTGCATGGGCGGCAAGGGCCACCCGCCCATGACGTCACGGTTGTGCTGCCTGGCTTTCCGCTCCACTGCAGCGAAAGTGCCCGGAAATAGCCAGAGGATAACGACACGTGCTGCAGCCCCCGCTCCCCGCTTCCCGCTCCCTCAGTCCTTCCACGGACTTGGCTACGTAAAAATAGTTTTTGCAGTGACCATAAAAATGCAGCGTGACAGAGAAAGTTGGGTGGCAAAGGATGAAAATAACAATGGAATATTTTAAAAATATAGCGAATAAACTAAAGGGATTGGGTCGGTTGGCTTGGGACATGGGAAACGCTGGAAAACCGATTACGATACAGCCAAGAATCCGTCTAGATTATGTAACTGACATCTAGAACTGATTAATGAGACATCTCAAGAACCTCGACTGGAATCACCTGACATTGGCATCAGGGAAGTGACTCGCTCCCAATGGAGGAGCAGATATCCGCCTGGGCTCATTGGTGAATCGCAGTCGCGTCGGCAATTGATTTATGCAGATGGATGGGGCTCTAAAGGTTGCCCCGGCGAATGGATTGAATAACTCGAGCTGATGGGGCAGCCGGCGGCAACTCGATACCGCCACAGTTTTTGCTGTCCACCAGCGGAGCCGAGATGTTCCGAGTGCTGCATGCGAAAATCGCCATAAATTAAATGGCCGCTGCAATATGTCAGTGATAAAGAGCACACGATGTTCTAGACGGAACCACAGGCAGCTCCAGTTGCAAGCTCCCCAGATGGAAGATGCCGCGGCATTGGAAAAAATCGATTCAATTCGCATTCCGGGTCCCAAAATACAGCTCTTTTGACAGGTGGGACCGCGATTACAGCACCTATTGCCACACGATCTTGCCACATGTGGAAGTGCATTCCTGTATATTAGTTTCAATATGTAAATCCTAATATTGCTCACACAGATTGAGTTTATAGTCAGCTTTTTTATTATTGGAACATAAACTTTTAAATACTAAAGAAGTAACCACTTCAGCAACTGGCTCTTCAATTCCAGCGGAATAATCTCAGTGCATACTGCTTACTTCTCTAATTGCCCACTACAAGCTAGAAGAACACTGAGCGAAATTCCAGCCAGTGATTCACTTTGAACAATAATACTGAATAATCCAATTAAACTTCCAAATTGCGTCCAAATTGCGTATGCTTGAATTGAGTCAGCAGGAGTGAGTGTACCGACCAGCGCCCTTTTTTTTGAGTGTAGCTGTGCGGCAGTGGCAACCAGTTGCATGTTCGGAGGCTCAGAAGTGGCATCTTTGGTCTCTCTCGGCGGCGGTTGTCTATTTTCTCACCTGCGGCGCTCAAAGGCGACCTCGACCTGTCCCAAGATATGTTCTGTCTATAACTATATATGTATCTATACAATATACACATATATTTATAGGTGAGTGTATATGCTTGGGTAGTCGAGAGGCTGCAGTGCATTATTTATTGACATTCACTGAGGCAAAGCTGGCCGCAGTGGGCCATGTTGGCTGTCTCTATATTCCAAAATGCATAGATTTGTCTCAATTGATAGTGGGGAACAGGCCGGAGAACTTGGTCAGCAGCTGAAAGGCAACATGCAATCGCGTTGTCTGCCAGCGGCTTTTGTCAAGCTGAAGGTAGCTTCTACGCTCTACTGGAGATCCGGGGACCCGACCAGGTCGGGGCACCTTGACAAGCCTAGGCACGTCTTCCGCCGACAATTGGCCAGAGATGTTGGCCAAAAGATGCTCGGAGTCGGGCTGATGGATGCTCCATAGAAGCTGAATGCGGGTTGCACCCTATCCTAAAGATGTCTTGCCTAGCGATACTTGCAGGCATGTGGCATATTAAATCACACATCAGAACTACCCGCTTGGGAAGTAGTATTTCGAATTTGAAAATTTAGTATTTGAAAATAAATGCAGCTAGGAGCGAAGAGCATTGGCAGTTCCACATGGTTAGTGCCAATCAGGGCCCATTTGATTTCACTTACGAGCATTGAGTTTCCTCGCGTTTTCGGGCAGTCAGAATGCGCGGAATTAATTAAACGGCTTAAGTAAGATGTACCAACAATTTGTTGCTAATGTGCCAATCACCGCCTGGCCCAAAAGCCACAGAACAAGGAGTGTGCATTAACTTTTGTAAATTAACTTTTGCATCATCGACAGCAACTAGCGCCCGAATCGTGCATGAAAACATCTCCGGAGAACCGAATGAATTCGGATCTGCCCCAAACTCAAGACAGAAACGGAGTATTGTAATTTCAATATTAAATTAATGTTGCCAGGTCTTGGCTTCTTGTTGCTGGTGGCGTTGCAGCATGTGGCGTGCCGCAGAATAATTTGCGAGTCCAAAACAAAGTGGGTCGTTCACCGCATGACTGTGGGTGTCTCATAAAAGTTTGTTTCCATCGAGCGGAGTAAATGCTACAAAAAAACATTAGAAATTAAGAGATCTGCTAAACAGTCAAAAATTAATTAAATTATTTGCAAAAGAACAAACTTATGCTTTATTTAAGATATTTCTCCTATTTTTTCATTTTATTTTAGCTTTTATTGTTTTAGCTATAACAATAATGCATTTATTATTTCTTCGTCAAACGGGATCTAATAACTTAATTAATTGGATTAAATTCTAATATGGACAAAATCCTTTTCAACCATATTTCACAGTTATGAAATTATTTTAACTACGTATCTGAAACTATAAGATACAGCTTAGTTTAATAATAGGTGGTTTAAATACACCAAGCTGAACAAAGTTATTCAAAGATACTGAGATCCTCAGCACTAATAAATCGATTAGAAAGTTGTCATGCAAGATATTATACATATTGCTATTTGGCTTAATTGCTGAAAAATCGTTATACATTTTCATGGAGCCCTTTGTGCGCAGCACTTTCCCAGAGCTTAACCCTTCCACTCCGCCGCATGGAGCCCCCAGATTCCGCCCCTTTCGGGTTCTTCCCAGGCGTTGGGCGCCACAAAAGTTCATCCATCGAGAGGTGTGCTGGGCGATAGCAAAAGCCATTTCCCATAATCGCAAGGCGAAACAACGGCAACAACGTCGCCGAGCGACAACGACAACACGAATTTCTATGGCATCGGGCTAACAATTTTAAGGCTTGTCTCCTTATGAAGCAAGACAGCCCAGCAGAGATCTTAAATAATTCGCAGGCGTGATTGGCCACGCTTGGAGTACTCCTCTACTCCTATATAGGAGTAGTAGTGTCTACAAACACAGAGATCCCTGCTTAATTTGCGCCACTCATGCAAACGCTCCTCCCGCCGAGCCGAGGATGCCACCGCCACTGGTGGCCAAATGTCAGCGGGCTGCTCCGCTGCTCCGCTGGTCCAGTTAAAGTACGCTAATTAGTCAGCTAGCTGAGCACGGCAGACACCTGAACATGTCAAGGCATCTGGTCCCTGGCCCCTGCCCCCCAGAACCCCTTCAGCCCCGCGATCGGCGGATCGCAGCGACTGCAGCCGCCAGCCATTTAAGGAGCCACTCGAGGTCAGTCTGAAACAAACAGCACGCAAAACAATCAAAACGTATCTATGACTAACCAGCGGAGTGCCACAGGTGAGTCGCTCTGCGCGCTGCACTGCAAATAATAGTGTGTGCTAGAGCAGTGCAATGAGGAACAGGAGTGACCAGTGAAAAAACACCAGCCAAAACACCAAAAATTCCGCGTAAGCTTTAATTGATGCCACCTGTACACATTAAAGTCTTCAGCTCGAAGTAGACTTTGAATCCACAACGGTTTCAGCTGCACGTCAATCCAGATTCTGTGCGCCATATTCAACGTTCCTTTCTCCAAGTGTAACCAACTGGCCGCTGAGCTGAGCGGCTACTTAGCTTCCTGCTGCTAACACAGACATCAGCGGCCAGAGCAACAAAGTTCAGATCCCATGGAGCAGCAATTGAATGCGAAATTTATTGCCGGCGATCGATCGCTCGAATCGAATTGAATTCAATTCAGAACTGTATCGAATATCGCATTGTTTGATTTCGGTTTTATTCGTTTGGCTTGTTAGCCGCTTGACGGGCCAGCTTCCATTTGTTACCCGTACTACAGCCAAAGGCCCAGAGTGCGCAATTATCGGCGTGCTAATGGAGCAGTGTGAGCATGAGCGTCCACTTCCTTATGGCAGCCTCTGGACCATGACTCAGTCCAGTGAGGATCCATTGTCTGGGGCATCCGCGGTCCAGGGCCATCGAATGGCCCACTTATGGATGGCAGTTTGATTGAAAGTGCGCCCCACAAAAGGCTTTTCCTAATCCGGAAATCACAGCCATGGTTCCTTAGCTTTTCACAGATGTATTCCAAATATTACTCACACTCTTTTCCGGCATGGTTTTTACTAGTAGAACTCATTTAAATATTTCATATTTCACAAGAATCAATTCCTTTGCAACCCAGAACTCGGTAAAGCTATTATGAGGAGTATTAAGTCTTACCAAAGTGTGTCCCACCATAGTCGTTTTAATTGAAGTTGACCCTCACACGATTCAAGGAATCTACGTAGTCCGGATGCTGCAAAACAGGAAAGTTTCAATATACGAGATAGTTCCACTACCCGCCCTTTCCCACCGTCAATATGGTCGGCCTGATCCTGGTTCCCTTCACGTTGAGCACAACATCACGACCTGGTCCCTTGGAGCAGAGTCCAATGGCGTTGACCACGAACCCCTCGGTGATCTGCTCGCAGTCGTTCAAATCAATCACCTTCAAGAGAAGACACTTGCGCAGCATCCTCGTCATTCCAATGTCCATCACCCGACCGCACAAAGTCAGCCCAAAGCGCTCCAGCTGGATGAGCTCGTTGAAGAACTTGAAGTGGTCATCATCCAGGATATCGTTGTTGCTGAACCGCAGCTCCGTGAGGCTACTCAACTGCCCCAAGCACCTGGCGTGCTCATTGGTGATCTGGAACTGACCCGACAAGTGCAGATGCGTCAGCTTGCTTCCTCGCTTCTCTGCCAGGACACTGAGGAAGCCCATATTCAGCTCGTTGGAGGTCATCCAGGTTTTCAGGGTACAGCGCTCCAGCTTGGGCAGGTGGGCAATCACCTCGAAGTTGGTGTCGCAGCCGGAGAAGAGCAGTTCCACCAAGTTCGAGCAACTCTCCGCGATTTTCTGGTACAAGCTCTCATTCATGACCTCGAAGCAACAGTCGTCCAGATCTAAAGTGTGCAGCGACTTAAGGGGTATTCCAAAGTCTATAGAGTTCCATAACAGACAGTCTCGCAGGACCAAGGTTCTGAGATTGGGAAACCCGCAGAGGTTTTTGCCTGTTTGGAGAGTAAGTTAGAGCAGGCTCTCCTCAAAGTGTAGATACCCGCAAAGTAGAGTGCATACCTACCTGTATAGCAACCATTAACCAGCTCGAAAAACTCCAGCTCCTGGTTGGGCTGCAGATCGAAGTTGAGCACATCCTCTGCATCCAAGCACTCAATAGTGACCCGTTTCAAATGCGTCATTTTGGACATAATCGATCGGTAGTGGAACTCATCGGTGGCGTTCGAGTAGCTGATCTCCTCCAGATTGGGGCAGTACTCCTTTACGAACTCCGCCAGCAGCGACTCCTTTTGGAAGGACGCACAGTCCACTTGCAGGACTCTGATGAAAGGTCCCGCCACCTTGAAGAACCGTATCAACTGCGGCAGAGGCACCGACTCCAGGCTGTCCATGTCCAAGGGATTTCGTTGGACTCGCGCCCAGCCCTCGAAGGCCGCCCGGAACTTGGGCGCCACACAGGCCAGCAGAACCTTGTCGGTCATCTTGGGCAGAAAATCGAGCACCAGTCGGATTATGTCCTCCGGCAAATCGAGGAGGCTTGTCCTGCACGGCGGCGATGGCGAAGGCTCGCTTTTTTGGACGCGACCAGGTCGACTGGAGCGAACTGGAGCTGGAGCCTTCACTAATCTTGCTTGCGTTTTTGACTTGGGCATTTTTTTGGTTTATTTGCTTCTACGTAAATTTGGATTAGTTCATTTTTGACACTGCCTAGATGTTACGATCGGAAATAAAGGTACATCACTTTATAACTGAGTGTTCCCTGAAATCTGATCTTTCTCCATTGTAAATATAAGAGTCAATCTCTTTATGCCACATCTGTCTACCCTTCGCAGTATTTTCTAGAGATCCTTTAGGACGAGGGAAAGACTGGGACGGCTCCACAAATAAAAATTTTAAATTGTAACTTCCAACAGATGAAACTCAATCTATCAATTAGCTTTTGATATCAGTTTTGTAAACGTTTTACAAGGCACTTACACTTGCAAGACCTCCTTGGAGTCATAATCTTTCTGATCCCCAGCACAACGAGTTCCCATGGGTCCAGGAACTTCCTACGGATGACAGTGACCGCCAGCAGTTTGCGGCCGACAGCTGGGAGCAATTTCGCGCATTCCTCTATTATGCACCGCTTGAGCCAGTTTTCTTTTTGTTTGACAACAATTAATTGCATAATTGGCTGAATAAATGCATAAATGAATTGGGAATTCGCACAAGTGCCATGCGCTATGCGTAGTTATTTATTCATTTATTGTTACCGGATATGTTTGAGGAATTAAGTTTCAATTTCTGTATGCGAAGCTTTTGCAATTCGCATTGTTTGTTTTAAAAGTAAGCAACTTTGGCATAATGGCAATGCCCTATAATTAACGAAAAGGGAAACAAAACTGATTTTTAAACGGGCAAGCGGCAAATTGTTGTGGATGTAATTTATTGCCAGTAGAGTTACGATGGTTTGATTTGTACATATTTCTAATGGGCCGTAAAACACTGCTATAGCGCGGAATCAGAAACGTTTAGTAGAAGTACTATACATTTAATGTAACTACGTACTGCAGTTTATGCTAAGTAATTTAAATGTTAAAACATTCATTTCGTTTTGTTTTATACAATCGCAATTGCCTACATTGTGCTGCAAGAATGGTCAATTTTGTCGATTCATTAATGTTTATGTTTGTTTCAAAGAACCCTCTGTCTTAATTGTGAGTTATAATTTATAGATATGTCCTAACTTTACGCATTAGATTATCTTTTATCTTATCTTTTTTTGATTTGACCATACTGTCTCAAAATCTTATATCCAATGTGTCAACTGCATGGTGCCATCATGCGTCCTCTGGGTGTCCATGACGCTCATTTGACGCACCAATCGCTTCATCGAGGGCCGGTGAGCAGGTCGACCACTTCCACTGGCCGTGGTGTCCAGGGGTGTACGCTCGTCAATCCGTGGAGCCGGCTCCCGAACCCTTCGACTGTCCCTCAGCTCTAGCTCCACCTCAGAAGCATTGGTGGAGGAGCCTGCCAGGACATCCAAGTTCTCGTACGACGCGGGTTGAGATAAAATCTCTCTGCAAAAATGAGGCAAGATGTATCAGATTAGATTACCTGTCTTGATTACTATGTGCATATTGAACTTACGGCTTTTGAGCGCATCTGCAGCAATCTTTGAACTGCCAGTTCTTGCCGAACTCCTCGCCCTCCTCGATGGTCTGGGGCAGGCGGTGATGCAGTGTTTCCGGCAACCGCAACCCCGTCATGCCGCCCAGCATCGAAAGGAAGCCCATGATGACCAGGGGCAGCTTGAGATTGTCCTTTCCCAAGTAGGTAATAAAAGGTATGCCAATGAGACCCAATCCTCCGATATAACTGGAAGCACCGATGCCGATTCCCCGAACCTGAGTGGGATAGAGCTCCCCGGCGAAGGGATATATGATCAGGAAGGAGGCGGATAGCAAGGCCTTGGATACTAGATACAGCACAAGGGTCTCATCCACGGCATCATCGGGCAGCATTACAGTAATCACACAAGCCACGCCACTGAAAAGTGTTGAATCCTTTAGAATTGTACACCATAAACAGATGATGGGTCGAACACCTACCCCAATATCATTGATAAGCTCAGTGGCCATCTCCTGCCCCAGGTATCCATGAAGTACCAGCAGCACAAATAACTCGGCAGCTCCACAACTGCCGACAGAAAGAAGCTGACGTACTGATTGGTGCCCAGCGCAGGTCCGTAGTAACTGAGTCCCAGATAAACCGTCTCATTGGCAAACCAACTCAGCGTGATCAGTATGGTCTTTAAGCGCATATTGGGGGTGCGACAGAGATCCGCCAGCCCCACATTGGCCATCTTTTTCTTCTGCTTCTTGAGCTTATCCCGCCGAATCTGAGCCTCCAGCTTGAGATGCACAGCCTCGGGAAACTCTCTGCCATTCACCTTTGCCATGCGCTCCAGAATCTTGAGGGCTTCCTCCAGGCGACCACGCATCAACAGCCATCGCGGGGATTCCGGCATGACGAACATGTACAGGAAATAGGCGTAAAACGGCAGGGAGGTTATATACGATAGGCGCACCCAATCCCGCTCCAGATAGGTGACCCCGGACAGGAGCATGATGCCCGAAGTGTAAAAGGTGCACGTCATCACGGTCACGAAGGATCGATAGTTCTCACCCACCAGTTCCAAAGCTGCAAAGTGAAACGGATAAGTTCACACCGTAGAACGGCACCAAGTAATCAAATACCCACATATTATAAAAGGTATCTGATAGACAGCTGGAATGGTCAGTCCTACAATGACTCGACTGCCGGCCCACGTCCAGAAATCCTTGCTCAGCGAAGTCATCAAGCTGCCAGCCAGCAAAGTGGCCAAGCAGACGAAATAGGAAAGCCTTCGCCCGCCACGATCATTGAGTAATCCGAAGAGATAGACTCCCACGGGACCGCCAGTATTGAGGGCAGCCAATCCAATCGTAGGATAAATATCCTGATCGCACACTAGGTCGAACTGAAAATAAGGTTTCATGGTTTTGAGTAAGCCAATCCTTTACTCCACGCTAAAGGGAGTACAGATGCTTGGGAAATGATTCGAGCGTCTCCTACATGAATGACGTTGTAGTTTCAAATGAAGGCTTGCTTTTCTGGGACTGCGCACATCAATCACAATGGAGGACCAGACGACGCTTGTATTGTACTCCCAGCCCTGACTGCACTTGATCAGTGGCCAACTGGTGTTGGGTTCCATGGTTGTCAGGTCATCCTCTTCCCCGGATTCGAGGAGCTGCGTCCAGTTGACTCCGTAGGTATAACATTTGCTGTAGACCAGTTCGTCATTATCCTTGAAAGAATTAGCTCATCAGTTATTTAAAAATGTAAATAGCAGGCATAGCTGAGCTTAAGCACTATGGGTATAATCAATAAGACATCTGCTAAGTTTCCCTCTCCCCCATTTCATTGCTAGCCCCTTCGATTACTCATCGAACAACCCTCGTATCGACCCTTCACCTTAAGCAACGCACAATCAATGGGCTGACTTGATTGCCTTAGCCGCAGCACTCGTATGGCTGCAATTACTCACCAGTTCCTTGGGTATGGATAGCGATTTTCGCTGCTCCAAGGGCAAGTCGAGTAGCTCCGGGATGCGACACCAATAGTCATCCGGAGTATCAGCCATAAACAACTGGTTAAAGGCACAAAAACCGCACGGTATGCAGGCGGGCAGGCAAATGCCGAAAACCAAGAGCTTCTGGTACTTGCCAAATTCGCCAATGGTGGGCAGAAGGTCGTCCAGATCGAAGGCCTCCTGGAAAGCAAACAGGAAGTCTAGAAAAGATCAAGGACCATGTCTTACAGATACGCACGTCCACCGAGGGCTGGGATTCGGGTTTGTGGCGTTGTCGCAGCTCCGAAAGTTCATCGTACTCGTCCCCATCGTTGTCCGAAATATCTGACATGGATGCGCCGCTAGACAAGCTCTGAGCTGGAAATGTTTACTCACACTGCCTGGTTGGCCCAGCTCGCGGAAGCCATAGAAACAGCAACTGACAATTGTCAGTTTGTTGAAAGGGTTGAATGAAAGAGCTGGTTCTCTTGACAGTAAAATGTTAGCTCCAGAGGGCCCGGTTCGTAATTTATAGTTTTGTTTATTCTTTAGTCGCAAGTTAGATTTAAATAGTTTAAACTAAAGTATTTAAAATATTACACGTGAATTCAATCCTGCTCGAATTACGGCCAAGACGAGCCACTAATTACAGTTTATAGGCTTTGATATTACAAGTAGAGAACGGGGTTTGAAGTACTTCGTTTTGCAGCTCAGTACTTTTTAAAGGGCTTTTAGTTTTTTCAATAATTTCTTCTTTTTTTGGAATCATTGCTGGAGCTGGGGAGCTGGGAAATAGACAATGCTAAACTTTACGCCTAAAGATTAACAGAACGAAGAGCTATACAAAAGATGCTTCAAGTCATTTTAACTCCAACTCGTTTGCTATTTACTGCTTAAAAATAATTGCGCGCTTCGTTACTCCACTGTTCTTCGCCTGATACAAACATATGTTATTATACACATATCAATCGTAATTATAGTAAACAGAAAACTGCCTGTGCCGGGCGCACAGCGCAGAAATCACACACACATTAGGCTTAAGTGTAAATTTGTGGCTACACATACAAAAATACATTCGCACGAGCTCCTTCTTCAATTCTGCTGTTTAATCCACCTTTACCACACTGTAGATCTTGCGGATGAACCAAAAGCAAGCGAAGAACCCGATGGTACCGGTCAGCAAGAAGAACAGGAATACCATGATGGCCGTGTAGCCGAAGTACAGGAACGTCGAGGCACTGTCCTTGATCGATAGCTTCGTGACAAAGTAGTGGCAGCAGTAGATGAACAGATATACTGCCGTGAAGCCCGACGTCAAGAAGGAGCGCCACCACCAGTGATAGTCCTCCGCACACAAGTGGAAGTAGCACAGCAGAATGGTGGTCTCCGAGCACGTGATGACCAATATGACAAAGACCAGGAACAGAAAGCCGAACATGTAGTAAATCTGGCTGGACCAAAGCGAGCTCAGGATAAAGAACAGCTGAATGAAAATGCAGCCAAAGGGTAGAACGCCGCCCATAACGATACCAGGAATTGGCTGTGTGTAGATCGATTGGTCCGGAATCTGACGGGGAATCTGGTTGGTACGCACAGGGTGCTCCAGTGCCTGAAAGCAGAAATACAAATGTAAGGCATTAGGGTACAAGATAAGAAAAAATATACTTACGCGCTTGCGGAATCCAAAGTAAGCTCCAACAAAGGTTAGTGGCACGGAGACTCCAAACCACAAGGCAAGTAGAGCAATTAGCGTGCTAAATGGAACAGCTCCGGAGCTATTTTCCCACCACAGCACCAGGTTCATGACGAAGAACAATGAGAAGACCACACTAAAAAGGGAAAAGACATTTAATAAAGTTGAATCTGTTAATACATCTTTAATTTCAAAGAACTTACCCAGGGCAAACGATCGAGGTAAGGATTACATTACTCTTCCATTTCAGCCCACCGAAACTCTTGTAGATACGCGCAGACACGTAACCAGCCGGTGTTCCCAACGAAACAAACAAAACCATGGAGCAGGTCATCAGGGCTCCCCGATTGGCTGGGGACAAGAAACCCAGGCAGGCGAATGCTAAGGTGATCATGGACATCACCAGCACCTGCACACCGGAACCCAGGAATACCGACAACAGCATGCCCTTCCGCGGCGGCCTGAACACATCACCATGGACCAGCTTCCAGCCAAACTCCTCCTGGGCATCCTCACCGCTATCCATCTGATTATAGCGAGCAATATCTTTGTGCAAAGTACGCAGCATTATCATTGCCACCATGCCACTCAGGAAGAGTACAATAACCAGGGAATTGAGAATGGAGAACCATTGGATATTCGTGTGCGGCATGGATTCCAAAATGTAGTCCCAACGTGACGACCATTTGATTGAATCGTTCTTCACAAACTTCACGCTGTACGTGTATACGATTTCAAGCTGCTCTCCAGCCTTTAAAGAGTTCTCACTGATTGCCAGTGGTTCTGTGCTCAAGCAGTTGGGGTGTTTCGGATCCGTGTGCTTGATAGATCTGGGAGTCACCTTTACAGAGATTATGCGTCCACTGTTGCCGAACTGGATTCCCCAGTCCTCCGATTGTCCGCTGTGGTATGTAATCTCGAGATCCACATGATTGAAAGGATAATAATGCATGGGCTGGTTATATATGGAGTTGATGGGACAGCCTTCGCCATCACTGCGAACAAGACAACCCATGGGAAATCCGATTCCGCAGTATTGCTTGCCATTCTCCAGTGGGTAGCACCATGTAACCGGCATGTTGTCCACAATCCAGTGGTGTTGGTAATTCAAGCTGATGCCTTTCTTAAGTACCATCATGCGACGGTTGCTACCCGGATCGTCTCCTTTGTAAACCTTGACACAGGCCTAAATAAAAAATCATATAATGGGCTTATGTTGCTAAAGCGTTATTATTGTTTAATCTTACGGCCGCACATTGCTGATTTTCCAAGAACTGAATTTTATAGGGTCCTGGGCGTATACGCTCACCGAACACTACTTGTCCCAGATTCTCCACCGGAGAGTTCTGCTCCTCGCCCAAGCAGAAGTCGAAGTGATGGTACTCATAGGGTATTACGGATTCCTCAGTGTTTAAGCGGTTCACGTACAACAAGATTTCCGACTGAAGGAGATAATGGAGTTGATTAGTGTATTTTAGCGTATATGTTAATGTATTTCAACATTATCGAGGATTTTATTATTTAAGAGTGTTACAAATAATTGTTCTTCTACTTTTAATCACATTTTGTTTTTATGTTCTAAGTAATTTATCTAATCGAAAAGCAAAACAATTGAATGTGAAACACCTTAATATATTCTTATCAGTGGGCGAGAGTTAATTTAAGGGCGTATAAACCGATTTAGATTTGGTCGACTTCCTTGAATTATGGTATAATTAAAAAGTTATTTCGATTTGGTTCTTTTTAAAGATAATATGAAGCTTTATCAATTCATTCATTCATCATTTTCGTTGATATCGAACTGAATACCAATGTTGTTTGAAATAACTGCAAACCCCCGATTTTGAAAATTATTTAATACCGAATATGCGATGAACTTTCTTTTATACTTTTATTATTATTAAAGAGAAAATATTTCGTATAAGCGAAACACTTTTACGGTTAAATCATCAAGAACGCATGATTTGATATCTGTATCTCAATCTGTCATAAGAGCATGAGCCCCGAAATCTGAATTCGCGTGCCAGCTGAAACTACATGAGAACTCCCATTTGATCAAGCTAGCGAAGCAAGCCAGCGTAGGCAACGTCAGCAGAAGTTGAGATGCAGACCCCAATATAGACCCGGCATACAACTAGAAACTGGGCTTATCAGTGCTTCCGCTTCTAAGCGCCATTAGGAGACATATCACAATGTACATTTTCATTTCCATTGGCTGTGCTAATTGTGGCGGGCGGGGGCAAACACACCCACTATCTACGTACATATGTGTGTACTTATCTACATATGTACATCTGCACCTACCTTGCATGTGGATGAGACGTCGGTTTTCTTGCAGAAATTAACCGGGGCCAGTCCGGGCAGATAGAATGCCTGCGTCGGGGTGGACAGGTGCAAGAGGACGACGCCCAGGAGCGGCAGAAGTCCGGAAAGAAGGTTCATCTCGAGTTTGGGTGGCCAACGAACGGCACGAGTAGCAGACCTTCTTCCTTTAATTCTACGGGTTGTAATCACAACGTGGCCGTGTCAGCGATTCTCTGCCACACGTTCCGGATCGGCGGTCCACGCACAAACCGTACTATCTGGATATTTATCGGAATAGACGGAGTTTTTCGAGTGTTTTTACTACGTTTCCTCTTTTTTGCCGAACGTCAGCACTGTAGCAGCGTTGCCACCTAGTCCAGCTGAGTGGGCTGCCAACTGGATGGCAAAAACTTGCCAGCATTCGCGAAGGAAGTAGGAGAGGGAGAGGAGGAGGAGGAGGAGGAGGAGGAGGAGGAGGGGGAGGAGGAGGAGGAGGAGGAGGAGGAGGAGGAGAAGAGGAGGAGGAGGAGGAGGAGAGGAGGAGGAGGGAGGAGGAGGAGGAGGAGGAGAGGAGGAGGAGGAGGAGGAGGAGGAGGGAGGAGGAGGAGGAGAGGAGGAGGAGGAGGAGGAGGAGGAGGAGGAGGAGGAGGAGGAGGAGGAGGAGGAGGAGGAGGAGGAGGAGGAGGAGGATTAGAGGAGGAGGAGGAGGAGGAGGAGAGGAGGATAGATAGGAGGAGTATATATTATTATTAGGATTATTATTATTATTATTATTATTATATTATTATTATTATATTATTATTATTATTATTATTATTATTATTATTATTATTATTATTATTATTATTATTATTATTATTATTATTATTATTATTATTATTATTATTATATATACAAATCGGGTTTTGTAGGACTAAAAACAGTTATATTTCACTAAAAGTAAAACAAATGTTCTCCAAACTAATGCAACCAACATATATTGGTTAACGGATATATATGTTAACGGAAAAACGGATAGAAATGATACTTCTTAGATATCACGATTTCTTAAAATTATTTTTTCTTAAATTTATAATCAAACTTTGTAAGTTTTTTACCTACGACTCTCAAGTCAGAGTATTCGATTATTTACATAATTGTAGTACTTCGATCTTTTTGTTACATCTTTGCTGGAGAAATTCTTCGATAAGCTCCAACATTTAAATTTAACGCTCGATTTTTAAGGAAGCGAATTCAATTTAATAGAATTGGTAAATATTCGGGCGCTGCCAACCAAAAAAGTTATTTTGTCGGATACTTCGTAAATGTGTAAATCGAATTCCGAATTACCGATAGTTCAATATAGAAACTGTAGCAATCGAATAGCTGTAGCAAATTTCATCGAAACCTCAATAGCAGCGAATAAAAATCGATTTTTGTTTCAGCCCTACTTCAATTCGGAGCCACAAGAAATACAAGCAGAAAAACGGAAGTTCTGCCGCACAGAAGGCTTACAATAAATATATATAACTAAGTAAATCGCCGTTAGGAATCCCGCGCTTTTTTACCGTTTCCAAGCAAACCAAACACAATGTGAGTATAATGTGGCATTCCACTGGACGCGCTTGTATGTGTGTGCGCGAAAAAATCAATTCTTGTGACGTTCAAGGTGTTGCAACCTGTCGCCAATTTCAGCGGAGTGGCTAACTAACTTTACTTCCTTTGTCTCCACCACTTGCAGCCCACAGATTAGCATTGTCTAGTAATTACGCAAAAATTCCGTCACCCACACACTCACACAGACGCACGAGGTACAGAAAGAAACGGAAAGTGAAGTAGAAATCAAATAGAGAGAAAAAGTGCGAAAACATGACTTCCGATATCGCCATGCAATTGATTGCCATTTTGGAGAAGACCGTGTCGCCAGGTGAGTTTCCCCCACTCGTACTTACATACATATGTATTGATCTGAAAACTATGGATTTTTCTTCGGTTGGCGGGAGGGACGCGCGTTATATGTTGCGCAGGGTTGCAATAGGCGCTCGCATATGTTTGGTTGCTAGGGGCCTACGCACACATGTGCATCCACGTATGTACATACATACATATTCGCATGTTCCCCTGGCAGCGCGTCTGTGTGTACTCGCAATACTCGCGCTCCTACAATTAAGGATTTACGAACCGCCTGCGACATAACCTCACTAACTCTAGGAATCGATGAGGCGTCGCTTCGGAGTCACCCTCGTAAGCTTGGCGGCCCGTTCTTCCGGTTGCCGATAAGGAATGGCGGCGAACTTCCGCCTTGCTTGGAGATATCATGCTCCATTACCCTTCCCCAGCATTGGCTATTAACTGTGTTCTTATTAAACAGTATTCTTCCTATGTACAATATACCCCTTCCCCTTTTCCCTTACCTTAAATGGCCTACACATTTGCACAAGTCAAGTCAATCCCTGTTCAATCCATCATGTTCCAATGGAAGATTAAGGAAAGGGCCTTATCCCAAAGCATTAATGCGACCCAAAAATGGTGGCCTAGAGACGACCACAAATGCAATCTGCCATTGACATTAATGCGAATTTCTAATTGGCCTGTCTGTTCTTACTCGGAGTGACCACTTGTTTAACCAACTTAATGTCCCACTTTCAGACAAAAATGAGCTGCTATCGGCGAAGAACTTCCTGGAGCAGGCGGCGGCCAGCAATCTGCCTGAATTTCTCAAGGCGCTGTCAGAGATCCTAGTGAACACGACCAACAGCGCGGTGGCGCGAATGGCAGCCGGTCTCCAGCTGAAGAACCACCTGACCAGCAAGGACGAGAAGATCAGCCAACAGTACCAGGAGCGCTGGCATCAGTTTCCCAGCGAAATCCGCGAGTTGATCAAGAATAACGTGAGTTTCACATACGAATGTTGAAGCTAAACTGCTATCAAACATTTCACTTGTAGTATGAGTGCCACTAACTGCAATTTTTTTTCAGATCCTCGCTGCTTTGGGTACCGAGAACACCCGACCCTCCTGCGCCGCCCAGTGCGTGGCCTATGTGGCCGTGATCGAACTGCCGATAAACCGCTGGTCCATGCTCATCCAGACACTGGTGAACAAGGTGGTCAGCGAAGGATCCAGCGAGATGCATCGCGAGTCGGCGCTGGAGGCGATTGGCTACATCTGTCAGGACATTCGGTTCGGCGTCCTGGAGAACCAGTCCAACGACGTGCTGACCGCTATTATTCACGGCATGAGAAAGGTAGAGCCGAGCAATCACGTTCGCTTGGCGGCCACCACTGCCCTTCACAACTCGCTGGAGTTTACCAAATCAAACTTTGAGAAGGACATGGAGCGCAACTTCATCATGGAGGTGGTGTGCGAGGCCACTCAGTGCCAGGACTCGCAAATCTGCGTCGCCGCTCTGCAGTGTCTGGTGAAGGTTATGACCCTATACTACCAGTTCATGGAGCCCTACATGGCACAGGCTCTTTTTCCTATTACCTTGGCGGCCATGAAGTCAGAGAACGATGCTGTAGCGCTGCAGGGCATAGAGTTCTGGTCGAACGTCTGCGATGAGGAGATAGATCTGGCCATCGAAAGCCAGGAGGCCACTGATCAAGGCCGTGCTCCGCAGCGAGTATCGAAGCACTATGCTCGCGGTGCTCTGCAGTTCCTGACGCCGGTGCTCGTCGAGAAACTAGCCAAGCAAGACGAGTGCGATGACGAGGACACCTGGAGCCCGGCGAAGGCCTCCTCCGTTTGCCTCATGGTGCTGGCCACCTGTTGCGAGGATGAGATCGTGCCACATGTGCTTCCCTTCATCAAGGAGAACATCGAGTCACCTAATTGGCGATACCGCGACGCAGCGGTGATGACTTTCGGCTCCGTGCTGAATGGATTGGAGACCAATACTTTAAAGCCGCTCGTGGAGCAGGCCATGCCCACGCTTATTCGACTGATGTACGACTCCAGTGTTATTGTGCGCGATACCACCGCCTGGACATTCGGACGCATTTGCGATGTGCGTAGGACGCAAATATTTTTGGGGATGCATATTGTTACTAATTTTCTACTGCTTTTCTCTAACAGATAATTCCCGAGGCGGCTATCAACAAGACATATCTTCAAACTCTTCTAGAGTGCTTCGTGAAGAGCTTAAAGTCGGAGCCCCGTGTAGCGGCCAACGTGTGCTGGGCCTTCATTGGCCTTTCCGATGCCGCTTGCGAAGCAGCGGTCACCACCGAGGGAGAGACTCCGGAGACTTACGCCTTGTCCCCGTACTTTGAGATCATTATTACCCAGCTGTTGGAGACCACTGATCGTTCGGATGGAGCTCAAGCCAACTTGCGAGGTGCTGCTTATGAAGCGCTGATGGATATGATCAAGAACTCGCCCTTGGATTGCTACTTGGTGGTGCAGCGCACCACGCTGGTGATTTTGGAGCGCTTGAACCAAGTGATGCAGATGGAAACCCAGATAAACAATCACAGCGACCGTCATCAGTTCAACGACCTACAATCGCTTCTGTGCGCCACTCTGCAAAGCGTTTTGAGAAAGGTCCATGAACAGGATGCTCCACAAATTTCCGATGCTATCATGACCGCTCTGCTGACCATGTTTAATTCAAGTGCTGGAAAGTCGGGTGGCGTGCAGGAGGATGCCTTCCTGGCCGTTTCGACACTGGTTGAGCTCTTGGGAGCACAGTTCGCCAAGTACATGCCGGCTTTCAAGGACTTCCTCGTCATGGGTCTGAAGAATCATCAGGAGTACCAGGTCTGCTGCGCATCTGTTGGTCTCACCGGCGACATTTTCCGCGCCCTTAAGGATTTGATGATGCCCTACGCCAACGAGATTATGACCGTTTTGATAAACAATCTAGCGGAACCGTCTCTACATCGAAGCGTCAAGCCCCAGATCCTGTCTGCTTTCGGGGATGTTGCGTTGAGCATTGGTAGCAACTTCTTGACATATTTGAACATGGTCCTAGATATGTTGCGCGCTGCATCCAATCTGCAGGTTAGGGTTCTTAAAATACAAATGGTAAAGAAGTGAACCGTTAACACCTGCTATATTCATTTTCAGACGGATGCCAACAACTTCGATATGAACGAGTACATCAACGAGCTGCGTGAAAGCGTCCTTGAAGCCTACACTGGCATCATGCAGGGCCTTAAGGGCGTAGACCAGACTCCTCATCCGGACGTTATGCACATGGAGCCCCACCTGATGCACATTATTTCGTTCATCAAGCGCATCGCTCAGGAGGGCGACGTGTCCGACTCGATGTTGGCCAGTGCCGCTGGCTTCATTGGCGACCTTTGCACTTCGTTCGGTCCGCGGCTGTACCCGTTGCTGGACGATGCCATCATTACACAATTCCTGGCCGAGGGTAAGCGCTCCAAGGCGCAGCGAACCAAGATGCTGTGCACCTGGGCCGTCAAGGAGATCAAGAAAATCAATACCCAGGTCATCACGCAGTAGGCCACCTGCTAGAGGTTAATGTTTCTCAGACCCTCAAGATTGTATGTTATGCAGTCAAACTGGTGAGTACACGACATTCCCACTACGTATCGCTTCATCGAATGAGTGGTTACCTAGGATGTGTCGATTTTTGAAAAACAATTCTTGAAAAAAAAAAAATTACAAAAAAAAAAAAATCGACCATTCTACTATGATTGATCCGAGTTTGTTTTTAATTTTCATTTTCACACATTTCTCTATTTTTGCAGTCCAGTCCGAATTCTCTGATTAAAAGATTCTATCTGCTAAGTTTGTTTGTCCGATCTATTGTTGCTATGCAACTTCTAAATGCTAAGACCCATTGTTTATACAACTTCTTACTAGCTTTAAGCTCCATTATGAACCACTGTTTCGACTCAATATTTTAATTAAGGTCTGTTGATATTCGTGTGAGTTATTTAACCCTTAATTATTGTCCTCGCTCGGTAATGCAAATCCAAAAACGAACTACCCATTGACTAAAGCACTTCGCAATCGATAGTTACTGCTGTACGGACTTTGACATTTTTACAAACCGGCTTTAATGGCAGTTTAGTTTTGGGTAGGCTACAGCAACCAGCGCTTTAGTAGCCCGATTTTAAGCATTACCAAAAAGTAAACGAAGCTGTTATTCAAATGATGTAAAATTTAAAATTACTTGTAAAAATCGGTAGAAAAAATTGCTTTATTAAGAAAAAATACAATGAATGCATTGCTGCCCCCTTTGGAAACATTAACTTGTAGCGGATTTAAGAGCCACACCTTAGGATCTAAGAACTCATGTATCTATCCTACTACCCTCACTACCCCAACAAAAAAATATATAAACTAAGAATGAATGTCTTGAGTGTGAACCGAACCGAATGTGATGGCGTGAAACATATGAGTATATGAGATCGAGTATGTATTAGCACTACCTAGACCATATAAGTTGCGTGCCTGTGGTCCGACCCCTACTTCCTATGCCAATAGTTATGCTGTGATGAATGCTTGAGGAAACCCCTGTAAGTGGTAATTTGATTGCGAGAAACCCCACGAAATGTTTGAAAATGGATAAGGACTTCCCTTTTCTGTGGCGCGCGTGTGTATCGGCGTGTTGTGTGATATTATGGACTAAGCGTAAGAACTTTTCTAGTGAAACGAATGATTTTAGACCTAAGGAAACCGAACAGCAATTCAAAAAGATTTTAAACGGATTTGAATTTAAATTTAAAAGCAAACGAAACGAAACGAACCTAAATGTAAAACACTCACGACGACTGAAAACGAAACCAACCTAGCAACTAAAACGAAAAACGAAATACGAAATGACTTAGGGACGTACAAAGGCTCGGGCGTGGCTGTTTCAAAGACCCATCTCCTAAATTACTTTAAAGACAGAACCCGCGTTTAAGTCAGCCTCGCCCAAAGCCCACAAAAGCACGAACATTGGAAATTATTTTATTTTTGTGTATACGATTTAGTGTGCTCTCATTAATTCCAACCAATGACGCTTAGTTTGCCCCTCATTTTACCTTTTGTATTTACCTTAAAGTGGGGAGAACAACAACGAGAAACAAAGAAAACAGCAAAAAGAACAACCAAGCAACTACCTGCAGCACACACAACACTTGTATAATTAATATATATATTAGGTAAACGTAAACGCAACTACTAAAACTAAATACGCAACGGACCAGGGTATACAAAAACATAACTATATAAATCGCAGGGGTGCTGGAAAATTTGTAGTAGTTTGCAACCTAGCTAACGGCTTCTGAAAGCGTGTTGCACATATTTACTCTGAAAATTCGATCGAAACTACTTTTCGATGCCTTAGGAAGGATTCGAAGATGCTGCAAATTCTCTGGCGCCCCGCAAACCAAAAGTTCCATAGAGATATAGAACGCATAAAGACACTACATGACAGCTTGATAGGAAAAACAGCGATTCATACTTCATTTAGTTATTTTATCATATACAAACCACACAAACCATACAAAAACATAACCAGAAACTACCTTACGAAAAAGACGCGACTGTGAACGATGAGAAGTAAATGGAGGATACAAATGAAGTCGAAAGTAACCGTTTAAAATCTTTTCACAACATTAGATTACACTGAATGAAGTGAGTTGTAGTGAACTACTGTAGATATAAGCGCACATATAATACGTATTCTGTACACAAATTTCGAAATTGTAACAACGAGTTGGTAAATTGGGTTGAAATCTTGTTTTGAACTCTACGAATGAATTCTAAGGCTCCACAAGTTGCCATTTCAAAAGCTAAACAATCTCATTGGTAATATTTGTCTAGTTTCGCCATAATGTATCGCACAGCCGTCCAAGAAAGAAATAAATTAACATTTGTTGTTTTATCAGATTTGAACATATCAGAAATAGGAATTTTGAAATGACAACTTCGAGCGCTTGAGGAGAACATGAAATGCCAACATTAATTAGATGTACACTAATATTAGCTATGAATGATCGGATGCGGATGATATAAATGAGTGACTCCGAATCTTTGGAAGAGCGAAAGCTGAGCAACGCCTACTGGATGTGAACGTGAACGTATAAGGCTGTGGCATTCAACATGTAAGTGATGCCTAGAATTTTTGAATTTAGAATTGCACTCTAGCAACTTAAGTTAGCTGATATAGAAGACAAACCATCACACAATCAAAGCGAAATCGCTGCTAATAATCACATTTCTCAACCTTTTTCCACAGGTGTGGTGATTGAATATTATGAGGATGACACTTGTGCATTGAATGAAGATGATGATATGTGAAATATGTGATGGGATGAAATATGTCGATGGTTGTTTATGAGAGTGACTGATGGAGGGAGGAGTATGTCTAGCAGAAATCACCAACAAACTAAAACACGTCACTCAACTCATTTAGCACAAATTTCTACCTTTTATACATACCTACATTTCCCAGTTTTATAAACAGTAGAGTGCTTGGAACTGTGACTGAGTAAAGTTGTATGTAACCATTCCAGAAGCAAACATAAAACCATTACAATTGAGGGACTAACGAGTTTGTTACACCTAGCTGTTAAGAAGAGTTCATGTCACTAGAGTAAGCCAGGGAATTGGCAAACGGTTGAAGGGCAAGCTCCAATAAAAAGCACGGTGGACCCCCACTTTTTGGACACTCCACTGTGCAAGCTAAGGGTTTTCAATGGGCTTGCCCTTCGACCCTTGCCGTATGTGCGAATGGTCGTCGTCTGATGTAAGATTAAAAAACCAATAAACTAGAAACGCAACTGCAACTGCAACTGCAACTTTGCCTGTGATCCGATCATCTGTATGGAGTGTACGCTGTGTGAAAGACTTGTGTGGATATATATGATATCTGTGAAGTAAGAAAAAGCACCCCGCGCAGCAAAGAAGCGATATTTTTTTGTAAACATTTAAAGGATTGCAATTGAATGCACAAATGAAGGTGTGAGCTAAAGCAAATGAAAAACGTAACATATGGTACTGATTTTATACTGAGAACTGAGACTTACTATGTATACATACAACAAACCACAAGACAACCAACTTACTTACTTAAGGACTCACGAGGATTACTTTACGCGGGACTCTACACAACGTACACTAGAACAATACTACAATACCACAATACTACACACGAAACGCCAACTAGTGAAATTTACACCTTACCCACATTACAAGCCACTTATTACACCAACGTACATATGAGCATTATAATCGATTAACCTAAATATACACTGACTATTGGTGACGCTGACGCGCGGTGCTTTAGCCGAAAGTAAACTAAGTATATGTGCTACTCGGTATGCTAGTTCATCCTAATTAGCCAGTAAGTAGGGATGCGCGAGAGAACCTTTGATCCACGATTGCGATAGGAGAGAATCAATTATGTTACGTTATTTAGTATGCTGTATTATCAATTACAAACCAAACAATGAAAGCCCAACCCCTCTGAATATCAAAGTGCGGCCTAACTGTTCCGAAACAAATTGTATGACTGATAGTTTGTACGCGAAATTTTAGCAAATGTAATCTGTGTCTGTGTGCAAGAGCGAGAATAAAAGAATTTTGAGTGCAAGAGCAACAGGAAGGTGTTTTATTGGGCATTTATGGGCATCCGAGCGGGTAGGTCCTACAGCTTGGCCCGCTTCGGAAGGGTAAGTACCCCCGAGTCCACCAAGTCTTTTAATTCGTGGCGCTTAAGATCTAATTCGTCTATCCACTCCACTTCAGCACCATCAGGTGGAGCCTTGGGCAACTTTCCTGGAGTTCTGCTTAGGAGTGGAGCGGGACGTGGCGCCGCTATGTCCTCAGCCAGCTCGAACGATTTCCTCTCCTTATTGTGATCGTGTCTATGAACCTCGCGGTAGTCCAGAACGGGGTAGACACAGGCATCCACATCCTCAAATATTTGCGACCATTCAGCTTGGGTCTTGGAAAGGAAAGCCTCAGTCAGAAGTTTCCTTCCCCGATCCTGATGAGCTTCGCCAAACTGGCTGACATCTTCGGGCAGTTGCAAGTGCTGCTTTAGCAGCTCAAAGAACTGCGGTTCCAGGGCGCCCACGGACATGTAGCGACCGTCTTTGGTTTCGTAGGTATCATAAAAGTACGATCCGCCATCGATGAGGTTGTCGCCCCGATCTCTCCCCCAAATGCCCAGATTCCGGGACATAAACAGCCAACTGGCCACATACGCAGCTCCCTCGACCATCGAGGCATCCACCACTTGACCTCTTCCCGAGTTGTGGCGCTCCAAGAGGGCAAGGCAAATTCCCAGAGCACACATCACACTGCCCCCGGCGAAGTCGGCCAGAAGATTAATGGGTGCAGTGACCTTTTCATGGCGCCTGCCCAGCATGGAGAGTACTCCCGATAAAGCCGCGTAGTTGATATCGTGTCCCGCCCGTGGCGCCAGTCTTCCATGCTGCCCAAAACCCGTGAGGCGGGCATAAATCAGGCGGGGATTGGCTGTGCACAAGTCGGCGGGACCGAGATTCAGCTTCTCCATTACTCCCGGTCGAAAGGGTTCGATGAGCACATCGCACTTCTTGACCAGCCTTCGCACCACTTGCTGGCCTTTTGGGTTCTTCAGATCCAGGCTTAGCGTACGTTTTCCCTGCTGCAGTACATCCAAATGGTTTTCTATCACCTGCATGAGAAGGGAACGTAGATTCACATTTAAAAATCAGATTTGGGGATCGGATTTGCATTGAATGTAACGTCCGGTTTGTTTACCTTATCGATGCGGGTGACTGTGGCCCCAAAATCGGTTAGGATCTTGCCACAAAATGGTCCTGGAGCTAAGCCCACGAATTCTAGTACCTTGATGCCTTTGAGCGGCATCTTTCGAGAGTTTTTGGCCGAAAAGTAATACGAAAATTAAGTGCACTTTGAACGGCATTGCAACAGGGCTGCCAACTTGGAGGTGATTTTTTATATTCTCACGAAAATATCAGCAATGCACAATTAAATGACTTGGATCTCTAACTCCTGCCGTTGTATTCATTTATTATATAAAAATTCAATATTCTTAAATCAAAGAGCAGAGCCACATTAAATATTAAACAATATAATATAATATAAAATATAATATAAAATAAAATTTGTATTGATTTATGTGATTTTCGTGACTTTCAAATCTCGAGCTCGACTACCCTTTCGGAGCTGCCAACTGGTGCGAAACTTTTAATTCGCAAAAGGGAAAAGCCGCAACAACATTCATTCCCAATTAACTGCAACTTACAAGTTGGCCACCGCTGCTAGACAAAACAAAATTGACCGGGAGTGAGACCAGGACTTGACCCAGAAACAATGCCACAGCAACGGCGGAAGGTGGCCTTCAGCGGCAAGAAGAAGAAGGATCAGATGCTGCAGAAGCGCAACACAAAAGGTGAGAAAACATTGGTTGTGTGCCCACCTGTGAAAAGGGGCGTAAGGAAGGCAAATCGGAGCGGATGACTAACAAATGTTACGCCTGCAGGTCCGCCGAAGTATCTGAGGAGCACGCAGGAGTCGTACGAGGACAGCGATGTGCCAGAAACGACCAGGAAACTCATGGAGCAGCCCTTTGCCCGCGGCGGAAATCGAAACAAGAACGTTAATCGCTATAATCTGCAGTTCTACCAGGAGGGCAAAAAGGAACTCGAGCAAATGAAACAGGAGGGCTTCAAGCCGTTTGAGGTACTCAGTCCCGCCCAGCGGGAAGTGGACGACCGATACTTCGCCGGCTGCGACTTCCCAGTTCGTCCACCTTGGACGCTGACCGAGTCCAAGGAACAGCTTGATCGCACCGAGAATCGGTACTTTAAGGTAGGTCAGTCTACAGGGAGTTAGATAGTTATATTTACACTCTATTCCCATTAATCGTCAGGAATACGTAGACGAGCTGCAGAAGAAGCAGCGTGCTGGAGACTCGAAGGAGCTTTCCCTGTTCGAGCTGAATCTGGAGACCTGGCGTCAGCTGTGGCGAGTCCTAGAGTTCTCGGACATCCTACTGATCATTGTGGACGTGCGCTATGCCACGCTGATGTTTCCACCCTCACTGTACGACTATATTATCAACACGCTAAAGAAACATGCTATAGTCGTGTTCAACAAGGTGGACCTAGTGGAACCTCACGTGGTGGTGGCTTGGAGGCAATACTTCCGCGACCGTTACCCCCAGCTACCAGTGGTGCTCTTCGCATCTTTTCTCCCGCGATCTCGCAAGGGAAGTCAACGTGGTCCACAGGCTCATCGCAGGAGTATGGAAGGAGTGTATAACATCTACAAGGAATGCCAACGCTATGTCCAAGGAGAGGTAGATCTGACGGCCTGGGAGCAGAAGATACGCGAGGACATGCGTAGTGATCAGCTTGACATCCTGGATGACATATCCACGGCCGTGGAGGGTGAACTCAAGATTAGCAGCAGTATCGACACCACGCCCCACGAACACGTTAAGTATCACAGTGGGGTCCTGACCATTGGGTGCATTGGATTTCCCAATGTCGGAAAATCGTCGCTGATCAATGCCTTGAAGGGACGCAAGGTGGTCAGCGTTAGTCGCACGCCCGGACATACGAAGCACTTTCAGACCATTTTCCTCACGCCCCTGGTTCGCCTCTGTGATTGTCCCGGTCTAGTCTTTCCCTCGAGTACTCCCAAAAGCCTCCAAGTGCTGCTCGGCAGCTTCCCCATATCCCAACTGGCTGTTCCCTACCGCTCCCTGAAGTTCCTCGGCGAACATTTGAATCTACCGCAGCTTTTGCGTCTCCACCTGCCTGAGGACTACGACGAGTGGTCTGCGGTGGCCATCTCCGATGCCTGGGCATACAAAAGGGGATTCCTCACCGCCAAGGCAGCCAGGCCTGATCGCTACCGGGCCGCGAATCATATTCTTCGCATGTGCCTGGCCGGCCAACAGCTCTTGGTACTGCAGTTTTATCCGCCGGAATTTGAGGAGCGACGGGAGCACTGGCTCCGGCATACCGATGTGGCGGAGGTCAAGAAGTACCAGCAAGTCGAATTAGAGGAGCCGGAGAGCGAGACCAACGGCGACACATCATCCGTCTGCTCGGATAGTGAGTAGCCAATAAAACGCAAGACTAAAAACCATGATTATTAATAAACTCACCAATTTAAGCTGCCGATAGCGAGGACGAGGACGAAGACAGCTCCAATGACGAGACAAATGCCGATGAGGACGAATGCGCCATCGAGGAGGACGCACCCAGGTCTCGGAACGTATTTGCTCTACTGGAGGACGATTAGAAGTGGCATTTAGCAACAAATTCTGTTATTGCATCTCTAGTGTGCACTTATAATTTATTATTACGCTATATAATGTTTTGCTAACAATAAACTACAACACCAAGCTAATGAGGCAGATTAGATGTCGTCAATTTCATCGGATGATATATAGTCCTCGCCGAGACTTTCGTCCAGCGAGAGAAGCAGTTCAATGGCTCTGTTTGGAAGCAAAAACGTGATTATTGCTGTAAGTAAATTAGTAAGTGAACGTGGGGTAAGACTAACTTGATCAATTGCTTTTCATATCCGTTTTCCTCTATCGGCGCCGGATACAAAGCCTTTTTGAGCAGCAACTTCTCCAGATTGCTTCTCAATTCTAGCACTACGTCGGCAGTTTCCTGATTGCATTTAAAGCTGCGGAAGAACAACTTTTGATTTATCTTGCACAGATTTATCTGCTATACACACTAATAGGTCTTGGCCACGCATAGATATGGCGTATTTTGGGTCACGCCCGCTTCCACGCCATCTCCAAAGATGATCAGTGCCATGGGAAAAACCATTGTGGAGTCGAGCAGAAAGAGATCGGTGGACTTCTGCCGCTGGAAGTAGACAAAGTACGCCGAGTCGAAGCCGCTCTCTCCGCTGTTCACTGAGGAGGGATGGAAGTTAACGCGGCGTCCATCGTCCGTTGCCATAGTGTGAATGGCGCGTACTCTGTTCTTGATCTGCCGTGATTTTCTGCAGAGATGTATAAATCAGTTAACGCCCCTATTGTCATTGTCATCTATTTTGGTAGTTTCTACCGCAAGTGCGCCATGTTGGGATAGAGTCCCGCTCCTATGATGGCCCTCAGTAGGGGAATCTTCTCCGAGTTCTTGTTGGATGCAGCATCCTTACAGTTTGAGGATGTAAGAAATCTAGAATAAGGTAAGTAGTTTAGCTCACTGTAGGCAGACATAAAAGGAGCTCACTTGTAGTTGTAGAGCAGTTCACTGAACTGATTCTTCATCCTCTCCAACTGCTGCAGTGTCATGGAGCTGAGGAAATTCTTATAGCAAAAATCACGCTCTGCGTGCGAATAGCGGCTCTCGCGGTACGCATCAATGGTATTGTGCACCAGCAGGTGATCGCTCCGCATGTTGCGGGCCATCCTCCGCTTGATTTCATCCACTCGACTCTCTTTACCCAGAGGCGAGTAGAAGGGGGACTTGAAGGACAAGGCGGCCGCCGCCGAAGTGATGGGATCCAAGCAGCAAAAGAGGGCCGACATGAGGATCATTTTTCCCATCTGCGGATCAATGGGCAGCTTCGCCAGGTGCATTCCCAGTGGAGTAAGGGTGCCAGTCTGGTCCAACGCCTCAATGCTGTTCATAAAAATGTTTAATTGTAACTATAATAGCGAAAGGCCAAACTATTAAACCCACCGCTTCAGCAGTTCCACTCCAATCTTGATAGCCTCGGGATTGGGGGCATTAATAAGAGTTTGCAAGAACCGATACGGATCATCGATGTGCAGCAGCTTGAGGCTTAAAATTATGGATTCCAGCTTGGAGCGCAGTATCTCCGGCGTCGGAATATCTGCCATACGATCCTCTCTAGCGCGGGAGAAGAGATTGTAGCAAATTCCTGGCCGCACTCGACCTGCTCTGCCCTTCCGCTGCTGGGTATTTGCCTTGGTCACCCAAACCTCGTCTAGCGACTGTATGTTCGTTTCGATGTCATAGCTGGTGGCCTTCGTCCGGCCAGAGTTTATCACATATACCACATCGTCAATAGTCACCGAAGTTTCGGCGATAATGGTGGAGATTATGACCTTACGTTTGCCCGCTGGAGGTCGCTTGAAAACTGCCTGCTGCTCTCCCGATTGCATTAGGGAATGCAATGGAAATACAGCCATATGATCCCGCCACCTTTGACCCTTCGGGGTCTTTGGTTTATCCAAGATATTGTACAGTTGGGAGATCTTATCGTAGCCAGGCAGGAATACTAAAATGGCTCCCTCTGGTTCGTTTTCGCATATGTAGTAGACCAAATCGGCAATAAAATCAATGTCCTCGCAGCCCTCCGACTCAGGCAAACGCAGCTTGTCGAGCACACGACTATCGTACGAGTTCCTGATGCGTCGCAGATACGGTTCTATCATAGCCTCATGCTGCATCCTGCGCTCTGGCAATTGCCGCTTGGGGCGACGATCGCGGGCCTTTTGGAACTCGTAGTTCGTCTTGGACAGAACATCCTCCAAATAGAGCATCTGCACGGGAAACATCACGCCCTCAATGCGAAACATGGGACAGTTGTTGAAGTAGTCACAGAAATCCTGCTCTCGTACAGTGGCACTCATGAGGATCACTTTTAGATCGGGTCTGTGTGGCAGGATAACCTTTAGCAGACCCATTAGAAGATCTGTTTCCACGCTGCGTTCGTGGATTTCATCCAGGATCAGGACACTTAGATTGTGCATCAGTGGATCCGATTGAAGCTGCTGCAGTAGAACTCCTGTGGTGCAGTATGTGATGGAGGCTCTCTCCCTAGGCTTTCTGCTCTCCAGACGAATCTGGTAGCCTACCGAATTGCCCAGGCTCTCGCAGCGCTCGTGACTTACCCACTCGGCAATCGCGATGGCTGAAATCCTTCGTGGCTGAGTGCAAACGACGCGGCACGACGAGGCACATCCGCGGGAAATGGCGTCGTCGAGGAGGATTTGAGGCACCTGAGTGGTCTTGCCACAACCAGTGCTGCCGACGATCAGTATTACTTGGTTTTCCCGCACAGCCTGCACAATTTCGTCGGCGTATTTCATGGTGGGCAGCTTTTGCCGTGCTGCCAGCCGTTTTCTGGCCTTCTCCTCCAACTGGCGTTGCTCCAGTTCTAGCTGCAGTCTCTCGTCCAGCTTGGGGTTAACGCAGTTCAGGTCCGCGTTTCGTTCCTTGGTCTCTGCCACGAATTCCTCAAAGTTTACACTCAAAAGATGCCGAAACTGTTGCTTAAACTGAGCATCGACATGTTTGTCTTCCCTGGCCGGTGCTCGGCTGTAGTCCTCCATAAACTCCTTCACTCGCTCCAGCACGCCACTGGGGGCACTGACGTTGCAGCCCAAGCGGATTTGCGGCTCCTTTGGGTCCGCATCCTCGCCGCGATCCTTCTTTCGCTGCCGCGCAAGATTGCGATAATACATCCCGATGTCCTTGCCCCTAAGTCCCGGTGGACGGTTGCCCTTGCGGGCCTGGGAGCCGGATGAGTCCCTATCGCGCTGCATGCTTTCAATTGATGTGCATATCCAGAAGCAGAAGGAATCCCATCCAGAAGTCAACAAAATTCCAGGGCTGTCGCACTGCCAGAATGTGCAAATCAGATGGAGGCCGGGGCACGGGCTGCCAACTTAGTGAAGTACACTTTTTGTGTATTCTACAAAAAGCTATTCATTTTCATACATAATTACACATTTTTATAATTCAAATACCTGCAGACTTTTAAAGAGTTAAAATTGATGCCATTAAAGGGTCGGTGAGAAATAAAATCAAAAATGTAGCTTTAAAAATAAGTGCAGCCCATTGCTTGGTTCGAGTGCAGGCTAAGTCTTGGTTTCGTGTTGGTATATTTCCACAATCAGTGTGGTATGCTTGAGCGATCCCGCTGCGGTCATACTGATTCCGATCAACTTAACGCGCTGAGCAAATCGAATTGCTTGTGCTAACAATTTGGTTTTTTCGCAATTAACGGCTGTGAAGAACCAGCGATCTGCATGCCAAGTGGCCGATAACGAGACAGACCAGTGTTTGCGTTGCGCAAAAGCCGATAGCCGACTGTGTTCCTGTGTCATTCGCGGCTGAAGAGCAACAAGTGGCCGCAAGTCGAAACCAAAAGCAAAAGCTATATAAGCAAGAAATACTCTCCGCAAGAAAAGGTGTTCGAAGCGGTGCGCGCAGCTTGTTTTTTCCGCCGAACGTCGCGCAATAAAACAAACAAAAAGCCAGAGCCCAAAAGCAACAACCACAACAAAAGCCGTTTGATCGCGCGTGTGTGTGCGTGCGCGAGTTGAGTGTGGCTCTGTCTGTGACTGTGTCTGTGTGAGTGGCAAGCCATTATTTTTCTGGTCTTATGACGTAAACCACCGAAAAAATCAAAAGTGAGCAGGCGACACAGATATCAAAACGAAGGTGAGCGCATTCTTACCAATTCTCGCTCCGTTTCTTGGAATGCCAGCGGTTATTAGACGACGGTGCTATACTTGTTTACATTTTCGCAGTTGCAACGCACAACTATTGTCGGAGAGGAAGCGAGAAAGACATATGTAGATCGCTCTGTGGAAGGAGTGTTGCCGGAGGGGGTTGCGTTGCGCGGGCGGGCAGGGGAGGGAAAGAGATGCAGTGCATGTAAACAAAATAGAGAAAGAGGCAATTGCTGTAAATTCTTTGGCAAAAGAAATCTTGTTGAAAGCATTTCCTCCGCACATGCTTACATGCTTATGTGTACAGGCGACCTGAAAAGAAATTGTTGCCCTGCTTGAACTTGTCGCTCCACTCTCCACTCTCCACTCTGCTCTTCCCACACACACACCACTCCATTCACAATTGGCCTTTTGCGGAGTGCCAAGAAATATTAAATTTGATTTCTCTAGCCGAGCATTGTGAATGATTTGCCGACAGTGGCACGCCCGTTCGCCACACTGCGGAAAAAGCCGTGCATATCCCTGCTTTGCAAACATTTAAACGCAACAGCTAAATGCAGACTGCTTGATTATCTTATAGCTCGCATAGTCTGGAATGTAAAATTAATACAAATAATAACCAAGCTTCATTTTTCAAACAATCGCACAGTTAGGTAGTTTGTTTTCCGTGTAGCGAGCCAGAACCATCCGCAAAACCTGTTGCTGTTTGCCTTTTTATTGGATTTCTCTGTTTTTCTACCTCCCCAGCTGCTGTGACTCCATTAGTGATTCATTAGATGCGTTGGCCAAGCTAACGCAGAAAGCCAAAGCGTGTTCCCAGCGCATCCTTCAATACAAGGCAATTCAAATGTTCAAACGCTAACGGCCAGCAGTTCAGCCTGGCCAAGTGAATCACTCAGTAGACACATACGAGTGCTCTTACCAGTTTCTTTGGCTCTACGAACAACGTGCTATTTCCTATTTTAGCTTGCCGCGATTACCGCATCGTTTTGTACATTTAGTGCGCATTATTAATTTGTCCAATTTGCCGCTGTATTCTGTTTTTTGTTTTTGTTTATAATTATAAACAGCCGTTTTCACGCTTTGAAAGCTTGGATAGTCGGATTTGGTCTAAATTGGAAAATTGCAAGCTTTAGAGGCTGGTGTGTAATATTTTCCACATATGTATATGTACGAATTAAATCATTAAATACGGGTTCTTTTTGTTACAATTTTTCAAATACTAATTGCTACTAACAATCGCGAAGTATCACCTTATGCAACTCGTGCATAATTGTTGTTAAAGTAAACTACTTTTGTCAGGATTGTAAAAGGTCTTACTGGAAAATAGCACCCTTCCCCCTGACGATCCACTGTATTGGGCCTCGTTCCTTAGAATGTACGTGTTAATTGAAAATTCCACACCCCGTTGAGGCTGAATCGCCATTACGGCACCCCAGATAATTGTAAATAAACCCAAGCTGATAATGATCGACCGCCTCCCATGCATCCATCCATCCGTTCATCCGTCCATCCACCGATTGGATTCATTCGTTGGAAAACCATCAGAAACCGCGGTCTGCTCGCTTCTCGACCACTTGTAAACAAAGAACAGCTGTGAAGTTGTCCGCCCCAAAACATTGAAGACGGCGCATGCCTCGAAAATCGTTGTTTGGTCTTTGCTTAGTATTCGCCTAGCCATCCACCGAAATGCGCCTCAAAAAGCTGGGGTTAGATTAGTAAACTTACACTGCAAAGTGGAGGAAACCAACTAAACTCTTATGTGTTCGTTGCAGAATGTCTCGTCACGAGAAAACAAAATCCACGGGCGGCGGCCTCCTGGACAGCCTGTTCGGAAGACCTTCGAAGTCCAAAGGCGGCACAGTCAGCAGTGGAACACTCACCCATGGCGGACGACCCGTGTCCGCGGACAACTATGTGGTGCCGGGCGTGGAGGACTTTGAGCAGTATATCCAGCAGCTCACCGTTGCGGAACTGGATGCCAAGTTCCTGGAGATCATTGAGGACATGAACATTCCCAAGGACAAGAGGGAGCCCCTGTTGGCCAAATCGAAGGAGGAGCGACAGAAGATGATTATGTGGCACTTGAAAGGTAAGTAACATATCCAAGAGAAGCAGACCATCCCTATGTTGTACGATTCAGTGTTATTTGACTTTGGTTTATAGTTCCAGAATGATAAATGTCTATACATAACGGCTGGGAATGCTCCAAGTTCTTGCAGGCCTAATCTAAAACAGTAATGCTATTTTAAAGCTACTTTAGAGGGCCAACCAATGGCGTTGGCAAATTGTAACACCCTCAGCTGGCCATCGATTTCGTGCAACCCGCTGGATAACTGCCCTCTTTGTTTTTGCCTTCTGCCAGTGGAAAACTGCAACCCGCTTCTGATAAGATAAGCAGCTAACGGTGTGCTTTCCCCGTTTGCGGTGTGCGAATTTCGTTTTCCGTTTGCTTAGTGCCTTCAGCTGCCAATTAGTTCTGGGATGTTCTTCAGATACTTTTGGCCAATTCCTAAACGGATGGCAGTGATGTCAACGATCTTGAGATAAGTGAGCTCGTTCGTCGCCAAGTGGTTAGAACTTCAATTTCTCAAGGGGTGATAACTTTGTTTGCTAATTGTATTAGCCCGTATTTACCTTAATTCTGAGAATTATTTATTGCTAGAACTATGTGCATACGGTATGCATCTACTAATAATACTCTCCCTGTATTTATGTACCATTCATGCACATAAGAAGCTTAGTACGGGAGTGCTCTACTGTACTCGCGGGCTAATTACCACTGTAGCACAGCGCCAGCTGTATCTTAGGCACATTTCAATGCGCTCTGCTTTCAGCGCCATTCTTGGGGCTTCGCTCCAGTTATGTGGTTCCCCATGGCCATGGTCCATTATCAGTCTTGCAGAGTGCGGAATCGGAGCTCTCTTATCGTTTGCAGCGCTCAATTGCGCCACAACCTCGGACTATCTGCTCCCCTTTTATCAAGTAACACCAAGCTGTATATGTACGCCGTGTACTACGGCGAGTGCGTGACAAAGTCGGGCGCAAAAAATAAAAATGCGAAGACATTGGATTTCCATGCACATTATACAATTTAAGTTACGTCAAGTGGCAGTGAGAAAACGATTCTTTCTCGCGCTTTGGCCTTTTTGTTGAATAAGCAGTGCATCGCGGAAGGGGGAGCGAGATGGAGATGCCCATGTGCACAGAGAATAATTTTAGTGAACCTCGTACATAAGTAAAGGTAACGAAAATAGCCTGCTATTCATAAATCAAAAAGGGATTATTGTTGAATATAAATTTGACGCCTTAGAGTTTTGGGTTTTTTGCAAGGTTTAGTTATCTCCAGCACAGAGGCCTTTTTTTTAGTGTAGTGACTGTCTCTCTCGACTGTATAGGTGATTTTCCTTACACTTTGGAACGGCCATAAAATGCAAATATGCGAAAACGTTAAACACATTATGACAAAATCGCGCTGAAAATAAATTCTGACGCCTGCCAGTGAACTTGAGAGCTGAACTATGAGGCAAAATCATATCTATAGCTCCGAGTGAGAGGTAAAAGAAACTGAAGTCCGTACTTGTGGGTCGTGTTTATTGTGGCAGAACCCACTTGTTGCGAAATTAAATTTAAAACACAAACAATGGACTGGCCGGCAACAAAAAAGACTCGTACAAAAAGCTGTTCATTAACACGCTTCGCTTGCCGTTTTGAGTTAATTAATAAAACAGTTAGCGTAGTTGAGTTCGACGGATAAACGAATAAGTTGTGGGCAGCTTTTGGCCAATTTGAGTGATCCCAGTGGCACAGGTAATCATAAAAAGGGGTGGGTGCTGTTTCGAAGGTCTTCCTCCTACAGGTGGGGCGTAGTAATTGCCTTTTAAGTGCCCTTATCTCATAGTCTTAGCACAGAGTTCCCTGATAAAGCTGTGAACTATTCCGAGTCCGCAAAGTGTAAACACTAGTTACAAATGGGAGCCAATGGAACATACATTAAATGTTGAAAATCACTGGTGCCCGCCAATCATTTAAATGCACAATTAAGTATTTTAATGTGTTGATTTTATGTGTGCAGGTTTATTTAATAAAGGAGTATTAAAGATTACATTCCAGATAAGCGCCTCTTAAGCGGTAATTTCTCGTTTGTCAAGTGATTTTTTTATCGAATTGCCAATATGACTCTGTGGGAAAGTATGTCGATATTGGGCTGAATGAGTCAGTGCTGATATGGCTAAATTCAGGTGTGTTGTCAGTGGGAGGCAAACCTCTTTGTTTAAAATTAGGAGCCTCGAGCTATTGTGGAACTACGAGCATGTTTCTTATCATCGAGACGCCACGCCGTGAGCTGGAATGACAAATTTATTTTAATGTACTATTGTGCAAACCTTTATTTCATATCAAGAGTGTGAAACCTCCAAATAAAATACGGTCTAGTTAAGAATGGAATAGATTATATACAAATATGTGAAATAGCGCTGTCCATAGCGCGCTGAGTAGCCTTACAGAAATTCAATACGTGCACTCATCCGACTCCAACTGCAATTTCTCTTCCAGGTAAAAACTCACTGGAGCGCAGCGCCAACTCCCGCTTCGAGAAGCCCATAGACTACGTGGAGTACCTGCAGAATGGGGAGCACAGCACGCACAAGGTGTACCAATGTGTGGAGTCGCTGCGCGTGGCGCTCACCAGCAACCCGATCTCGTGGATCAAGGAGTTCGGAGTGGCGGGCATCGGGACGATCGAGAAGCTGCTGGCGCGCTCGAAGAATAATGCCAGCTACGAGAAGATTGAGTTTGAGGCGATTCGATGCCTGAAGGCGATCATGAACAACACATGGGGTCTGAACGTGGTGCTCAATCCGGATCAGCACAGTGTGGTGCTGCTGCTGGCGCAATCTCTGGATCCCCGGAAGCCGCAGACCATGTGCGAAGCCCTCAAGCTGCTGGCCTCCTTCTGCATTGTCTACGAGCGAAATGGCTACGAGAAGGTTCTTCGAGCCATAACCACTATTGCAGCCACATCCTTTAAAGCCAGCGAGCGCTTCCGACCCATAGTGGATGCCTTGTTTGCGGATAAACAGGACGCCAAACATGAGTTGGCCTGTCACAGCCTGATTTTTATTAATACTCTCACCAATACGCCCACTGACTTGAACTTCCGCCTGCATTTGCGATGTGAGATTATGCGCATGGGTCTATACGATCGCCTGGATGAGTTTACCAAAATCGTGGAGGCCAGCAATAATGAGGCCCTGCAGCAGCACTTCAAGATCTTCAACGAGATCCGCGAGGACGACTTCGAGGAGTTTGTGCAGCGCTTCGATAATGTCACCTTCAACATGGACGATGCCACCGATTGCTTCGATGTGCTGAAGAACATGGTCACTGACACCACCTCCGAGCCCTACTTCCTGTCCATCCTGCAGCACTTGCTGTACATCAGGGATGACTTCTACTTCCGACCTGCCTACTACCAACTGATTGAGGAGTGCATCTCGCAAATCGTCTTCCACAAGGGCTACTGTGATCCAAACTTTGAGAACAGGAACTTTAATATAGACACCTCGCTGCTGCTGGACGATATTGTGGAGAAGGCCAAGGCCAAGGAGTCCAAGCGGTCGGAGGAGTACGAGAAGAAGATCGAGCAGCTGGAGAGTGCCAAGCAAGAGGCGGAAGCGAAGGCGGCTCATCTGGAGGAGAAAGTCAAGCTGATGGAGGCTAATGGAGTGGCGGCTCCGTCGCCCAATAAGCTACCCAAAGTAAACATACCCATGCCCCCGCCTCCGCCAGGAGGAGGGGCTCCTCCCCCACCGCCGCCACCCATGCCGGGCAGAGCAGGTGGTGGACCTCCGCCTCCGCCCCCACCTCCCATGCCGGGAAGGGCAGGTGGACCGCCCCCACCTCCTCCACCGCCCGGAATGGGAGGCCCACCGCCCCCACCCATGCCTGGCATGATGCGCCCGGGAGGGCCTCCACCGCCGCCCATGATGATGGGGCCCATGGTTCCCGTTCTGCCGCACGGCTTGAAACCGAAGAAGAAGTGGGATGTCAAGAACCCCATGAAGCGGGCCAACTGGAAGGCCATTGTCCCGGCCAAAATGTCCGATAAGGCGTTCTGGGTCAAGTGCCAGGAGGATAAGCTGGCCCAGGACGATTTCCTCGCAGAGCTCGCCGTGAAATTTTCCTCTAAGCCTGTGAAGAAAGAACAGAAGGATGCGGTGGACAAGCCGACGACGCTGACAAAGAAAAATGTCGATCTGCGTGTGCTCGACTCGAAAACTGCTCAGAACTTGGCTATTATGTTGGGAGGATCGCTGAAGCATCTGTCCTACGAACAGATCAAGATTTGCTTGCTGCGCTGCGACACCGCCATCCTGTCCTCCAATATCCTGCAGCAACTTATCCAGTACCTTCCGCCGCCAGAGCAACTCAAGCGTTTGCAGGAGATCAAGGCCAAGGGCGAACCGCTACCACCAATTGAACAGTTTGCAGCCACAATAGGTAAGAGGAGTGCCATTTGCAATTAGGAAGGCGCGGAATAATAGTTTTACTCAATTCTAGGGGAAATCAAACGTCTTTCGCCGCGACTTCACAATCTGAACTTCAAGCTGACCTATGCGGACATGGTGCAGGATATCAAACCGGATATTGTGGCAGGCACTGCAGCATGCGAAGAGGTCCGGAATAGCAAAAAGTTCTCAAAGATCCTGGAGCTCATTCTCCTGCTTGGCAACTACATGAACTCGGGCTCCAAAAACGAGGCCGCCTTTGGCTTTGAGATCAGTTATCTCACAAAATTGTCCAATACGAAGGATGCGGATAACAAGCAGACATTGCTGCACTACCTGGCTGACCTGGTGGAGAAGAAATTCCCAGACGCACTAAACTTCTACGACGATCTATCGCATGTTAATAAAGCGTCGCGGGTTAACATGGATGCCATCCAAAAAGCCATGCGGCAAATGAATTCGGCGGTGAAGAACCTGGAAACTGATCTCCAGAACAACAAGGTGCCGCAATGTGATGATGACAAGTTTAGCGAGGTGATGGGCAAGTTTGCCGAGGAGTGCCGACAGCAAGTGGATGTGCTGGGTAAGATTTATGGATCGGCTCAGAACGAATCTTTCATGCATACGGCAAAAGCAAGAACAAATCTCATACTCGTTTAATTTCAGGCAAAATGCAGTTACAAATGGAGAAGCTCTACAAGGACCTCAGCGAGTACTATGCGTTCGATCCCAGCAAATACACGATGGAGGAGTTCTTTGCGGACATCAAGACCTTCAAAGATGCCTTCCAAGCGGCGCACAACGACAATGTCCGGGTGCGCGAGGAGCTGGAGAAGAAGCGTCGTCTGCAGGAGGCGCGAGAGCAGTCTGCTCGAGAGCAACAGGAGCGCCAGCTGCGTAAGAAGGCAGTGGTTGACATGGATGCCCCGCAGACGCAGGAGGGCGTGATGGACAGTCTGCTGGAGGCGCTGCAAACAGGCTCTGCCTTTGGCCAGCGAAATCGACAGGCGCGGCGACAACGACCAGCGGGAGCGGAGCGGAGGGCCCAGCTCAGCCGGAGTCGGTCGCGGACGCGTGTCACCAACGGGCAGCTAATGACCCGCGAAATGATCCTCAATGAGGTTCTGGGCTCCGCGTAGAAGTGATGGAACGAGCAATTCCCCTCTGTACATATATAAATAGACATCTGTAGCGATATAAGAGCCTAGGTTCATAACAACTCCATTGGCGATTCCAAGAGATTTGACTAAATGGATGCCCAGCAGGAACTATATGAGAACTATCGGAAATATCAGAAGCCGCAAAGTACTAATTAACAGGAACTAGAGTCACAGATGGATTTTCTGAAATTATTCATTGTTGAAAGGGAGTGCTTGGTTAATAGAATTGAATTTCCCGTTTTAATTTATTTTATTGATTGTTTAATAAATAACATTTTGTTTGGTTGCATTTGACCGTCAGTTAATATTTATAATGCGCAAATAACACATTAAAGACCACTTCTTTCTAATTTAAATGATTGGCAGGCCGATTTACCCATTTTAACTTTAGTTGTACATTTTATTTTGCTTTATATGACTTTTCCAACACTAAGGTACCAATTTTGCAAGTCCAATATTTTTATTAAACACTAGTTGACACTAAATTCGTAATCACTCAAGAAACGCAATGCAATGCATATCAACAAAAACTCTATGTAACGAAAAAAATATATTTTTGATACGCTTTTACTTCTGAATCTATAAATGCGCTGACCTAAGTCGGTTCTAACTCTAAATACTTAAATAACTTGATGATTGATCTGTATCTCGTGGTCTTACATACTGTATTCCTATTTACTGTGGCATGTTTGAATTATTTTGTTGTGCACTTCGTTTTTGAGGCACTAACTAGGGCGAGATTTATATCAAAGCAAAACTCTCTTGTATTTAATTTGTTTTTAAGCGAACCTTTTAAACTTGTTTACCTTAAAATCCTATTTTAACCCGCGCTATACATAACATTGTTAATAAATGTCTATTTTTCGACAATGACGGTACGAGTATATTGAAAATAAAACTACCAATATTAAATCACACTTTCGCAAGTTGTTCGGCTGTGGAAAGGCCTTTAGCCAGGAAAGTTGCCTGATCTAAACTGGGATTGGTTCTGGAAAATTACGCGAAGAGCCTTGGCTGCGAATCCGAAAATAATTTGGGTTTTCCACCCAAAGGTGGGTGACTGCCGCCTTTTGTTGTGCTCCACTTTAATTTGTTTTATTAACAAAGATATTTTATCGCCAATGTCGCGGCACCCATAAAGGTGTTTGATTGCGCTGGAAAAGGAGGCGGCACTTGCTGGTGGGATCGGCTGGGGGTTACGGGTGGAAGGAAGGGTTTCAGGAGGGGTTTGGCCTGGCAAACGGCCGTAAAACTCTCGAAGACGTTAAACGAACCGACAAACAGCAACTGCCGCACGACAAAGACACGTCCACATCCACACTCGCATCCGTCTGGCGTCCACGAACCATTATAGGAGTGTGTTCCAGCCCACAGATATAAGTTATTATATCGGGACTGGGACATATCTCTAATGGCCTGATTGCCCCTTGAGTTTTATTTTGGAGTCTGCTTTATGGGCCGTGGCGCTTGCTTTGCTTTCTTAATGGGTTTATTAGCATAATTGAAGGAATATGTATAAATGCCATTGAATTCTTGGCAGGTTGTTAATGTCATTGGCGGGACAGATTCTAATTTACGATTGGCAGATAGAGATGCATTAGCGTGTTTTACGGATTGGAATAAAGCTCTCATTGGCAGGGAGGTAATTCCATTGTTTCTTTAGCAAATATATTACATATATTTCCAATTGATCAACAGATTAAGCGCACTTAGCAGAACGAAGAATTCCCTGCCTTTTTGATAAAGTTTGTTCACCAAGATTTTTACGGTTTGTTTAAAAGGTGACGATCAAATTCCGTACCGAAATTCAGCATTCATGACTCACCTCGCAGTTGCCTAGCGGGCAGTTGCCATATGTTTACATAGATCACTCAGGGATTAGCCTTTTTGTGCGCCCCTAATGACTTCCAGGTAACATCGTGTTACATGACTTGCCCGTGCCTGGAACAAGACGAGGAGCCCAACCTACCCTTCCACGCCCAGCCCACGCAGTAAATTCCGCCGAATTGTTGACGGTTTGCGAAAAAGAAGAAAAAACAAATCTGGGCTGTGGCTGCCTAATTGTTGTGTGAACTTTATGGGCCCGCTCCGATCGACGGGCAGGTCAGCCCACCAGCACCACCTTATAGGCCTTGTTTGGTGTCCCCGTTCCCGCGCGACCTTTGCGCTCTCATCCTGGATTCTGGTCTTTGGGTCGCGATCGCATTCGCGTAATCATAAAATCACCTTTTGTGCGCGGGCTCGATTGTTTTACAGTGCGTTTTGTCCTACGGACATTAAGGGGTTTTTTGTTTGCACTCGAACCCGGACCAGTTTTTGGTAGTTCAGCGTTAATAAGTGAGTTTTAAGTACCCCCGCGCGAGGCCAACTGCCTGGGTGCTTCTGTTCCCGTTTGCCGAGTCCTTTGCAGGACTTTCACGTCGGTTATCCTTCATTGTGTCAGCTGCATTCACTTCTAATTATTTGACGACATTTGCAGTTTTACGATCCTCTACCGACGACCAGCGCGGCAATCAATGAATTTATTTTTTATAAACCTGTAGAGGATTTCTGGAACTGTCGGGATTACTCAATCGGCGCAAGCTTAGCGTTCTTTCAGGGATTACAATTGGGACTAGCAGGGAATCGAAATTCTTGCGAAAAATTAATAAGAATGGATAAAAAAGGAGGAGTGGCGGGAAGTTTTGGGTGACCGGGATAAGAAAACTGTTTAAAAAACTGTTCGTTTTGAATAAAGAAAACACGGTTCAAGTATTTCTATCCTAGCTTAACGTATATTATAGTTTATTAGTTTATTAATGACCCAATATATTTTTAATTTGTTATATTGCCAATATTAGGCGCGTAACAATCTGATGATCTACCGCGTGTCTGTCATAAAGTATAAATGAATCTATTTATTTGTTATTATACAAATTACGTTCAATTATTAGTTTATATGTAAGCGGGGAGGTTTTGTGTATGAGTTTATTGTTATTATTAATTCCTTACCGCTTTGGGCTAGTTTTCCATTTTTATTCACGAAATGCAAGTGTATAATTTTGCAAAAGTTGTGATATGAAGATGTGCATTGTTATGTGAACTCCACCCATTTTAATTAGCATTCAGTCCAGGACCAACACATTTTTATATAAATTGAATGATTAGATCGACTAACCATTATTGACAATGTATAATAATAATGTCATTAATTTTATTCTGTTTTACATAAGCTTCACGAAAAGCAAATGTATAATTTTGCTAAAGTTGTTGTGAAATGTGTATTTTAATTAGTATTCAGTTCAGGGCCAACACATTTTCATATAAATTGAATTATTAGATCGACTGACCATTTTTGACAATGTACAATAATACAAGTATTACACTTATTTTGGGTAATCAATTGTATTTTGTTTACATAAGCTCCACTTTGTCAATACCAGCCTTCTTCCGCTATTTTTCTGTTCCCGGCGATTTTATATTTCTGCTTACATGTCAATTATGGCTTCAGCTCCACAACTATAACAGTGATATGACAATATCGAGGCGCCATATAAACGGCAATTGCTTGGCAAACACCAAAAGTCTGGACAATGGAGCTGTAGCCACATCAAATGTGTGCAGATCAAACACGGATAGGTATGGAGGAGGTATGGAGAACGAAAGCCGGAGGATAAAACATTGATTGTTCTCCAGATAGAGATATGGCGCGACTATTACGACCGCGGTAACATCATTTTACAGCCACTAATTGCATAATACACACGCATTCCCGCAATTACTTAATTAGCCAACGGCAATTGCAATTAAAGTACGTACAAATCGAAAGCGGGCTGTAAAGGAAAAGGGGTTTTTCTTGGCCAAGATATTACGACAAACTGCATACCTGGCCCAAAGGGGCGTGGCCACCTGCCGGCCAGCCATCGCACAGCGGCGCGAAAGAGATGCAGCACCAGGCAGACAGAGACAGCGCTAGTCAGGCACACGGGCCATCTTGAATTTCGAACGAGCAACGGAAATGAGGGTTAAAAAATCCCTCTAAAGGCAGTTCGCGTGGGCCAGAAAGAGACAACCAGTGAGGTCGACTGCGCTGGCTGCTTTTGTTTGAGCCTCTCTGCCTGTTTATCTGCTTTTCCACTGCTTTGGGTTTTTTATCAGTCGAGTCTTGCTCTACGTTTCAGTACGTGTTCGACTTGCGTACTGAGTTGACGTCGCCCCGCACGGAATAACACTTCAAAAATCTGCCGATTTATACCCTGGAAAATAGAATCCATCTCGTGAGTGAGTGCTGAGAAATAGTGGTTCGAAGTATTATCGATATCTCGTTCGTATGTGGTTGTGCGCCTAAAACACATCACCAGCCAAGTGATAACTGTAAAGATTGACAAGCAAAATATCCCATATAACCCAAACTGAAACCGCAGAAAATGTGCAACTAAAACGTATTGGCCATCAAGTGGAGAGACCAAGAGCTTAACGCGGGATTACTGGACACAGCACCGAGCACGGGGAGTATCTTCGGAGAAAGCGCCCTTATATAACCTCAAAATGGTTTCGCACTACTACAACACACTGCCCTACACACAAAAGCACAGTGCCGCAAATTTGGCCTATGCCTCGGCGGCGGGCCAGCCATGGAACTGGACGCCCAACTACCACCACACGCCGCCGAACCACCAGTTTCTGGGCGAGGTGGACACCTCGCATGCCGCCCACCACGCGGCCGCCGCCCACCAGATGTACTACAACTCCCATCACATGTTCCACTCGGCGGCGGCGGCCTCTGCCGGGGAGTGGCACTCGCCCGCCTCGAGCACGGCGGACAACTTCGTCCAGAATGTGCCCACAACGGCCCACCAGCTGATGCAGCAGCACCACCACCATCATGCCCATGCCTCCAGCAGTTCCGCCAGTTCTGGGAGCAGCAGTAGCGGCGGTGCTCCGGGTGCGCCCCAGCTCAACGAGACCAACAGCAGCATCGGCGGCGGAGGAGCAGGCGGTGGCGGCGGTGCTGGTGGGTCCACCGACGGAGGACCCGGCTCCGCACCACCCAACCATCAGCAGCATATCACGGAGGGTCTGCCGTCGCCGCCGATTACCGTCTCGGGCTCGGAGATCTCTAGCCCAGGGGCGCCAACTTCCGCTTCCTCGCCGCATCACCACTTGGCGCACCACCTGAGTGCCGTCGCCAACAACAACAACAACAATAGCCCGTCCACCCATAACAACAACAACAGCAACTCGGTGAGCAACAACAACAGGACATCGCCATCGAAGCCGCCGTACTTCGACTGGATGAAGAAGCCCGCCTATCCAGCGCAGCCGCAACCAGGTGAGTCCTCGAAGACCCGAGAATATTACGCAAATGTATTTGGATTTATGAGTGGGTCATGATTTTCACTGGGTAGGAAGGAAGGCTACCCTTCCAATTGTCACTGCCAGTTGTTTTAAGATTGTAAGTCATGGAGGAATTACCCCAATTTACTTGTACCAACTGCTTAGTCATGTTGCCGAATATCGGCTGACCTTCGATTGCGCTTGGGTTTCTCCCGCATCCGCCTTGCCGCATTCCGCTCGCGGAGATTCCCCATGCCGAGCACACTGCACAATGCACCGCATTGTCTTCCCGCCCAGCTCGTGCTGTTCGCGCTTTTCCCTGTCCAACGCTCGAGGTATATGGGCTTTTATAGGAATCCGCTTACCTGGCGCGCATCCCAGTCCAATGGCCAATTAGCTCATAAAAATCAAATTCTGTTCAAGCCCCACTTTTATGGTATTCAGTTGGGGTCGCCAGATCCCCGATCCGACGCCTTGATTTATGGGCACCCCGTACTCCGTCCGCCGTCCACCGTCCGCCGTCCACATGAGTGTTTCTGTTTGTTTGTCTCGATTCCATTGACTAATTTAGTATCGTAAATCAATTTCACTGTAAACATCT